CCAAAACGTAAACGACCGCTACGACGGCAACTGGCCGCACGGGACCTCCGTCCTCGACGAGATCTTCATGAGCGACAACACGATCGGCAGGGTGAGCATCGCGCACGGCGCGCAAGGCCACGTGGTCGGCATCACGCGCACGGTCGGCGGCGGGCCCGTGGAGAACGAGCCCGAGGCCATCATGGACGCGGCGGCCTACCTCAGCGCCGGCGACGTGATGCTGCTGGAGATGCAGACGGGCGACGCCAACAACGACCTCTGGCCCATCGAGATCCTCGACGCTCAGTTCGATGCTATCAGCCTGGCCACCGCCCTGGGTATCGTCGTCATTGAGCCGGCCGCCAACGGCGCCCAGGACCTGGATCAGCCCGTCCTGCGCGTTGGCGAGACCACGGCGGTGGCGCTGCTGAATAAGGATAGCCCCGATTTCCGCGATTCTGGTGCGATTATGGTTGGGGCGGGCTCTACGACGGTTCAGCACTCCAGGTTGTCGTTTTCGAACTATGGTAGCAGGGTGGATGTGTACTCGTGGGGTGAGGGGATTGCGACGACGAGCGTCAACACGGCGGATTTCTCCAACGATGATATCTATGACGACTTTGACGGCACGTCGGGTGCCGCGCCTATTGTGGCTGGCGCTGCTCTCAGCATTCAGGGCATGGTAAATGTCAACCGCGGGTCGAAGCTGACGCCGGCCGAGATGCGCAGCCTCATCACGGTGGGTGGCACGGCGTCAGCCAACCCGTCCACTGATAAGATTGGTGTGCAGCCGAACTTGAGGGCGCTTATTGATGGGGGGTATCTGCAGTGATTTGGGCGCTTGGGAGGAAGTGGGTGAACGGATCTAAACTGAAAGGTTTCCTTATCCAGCGAATACAATTGCCTTATGTGATAATACCTTGCCGGTGGCTCCATCACTAAATAAATGTGTGAGTGTATATGTATGGCCTCTCCCCGTTTAGTTCATATGGATCAACAACTAAGTCGCAATATGGCCCCCGAGCTCGGGACTGCGTGACAGGGGCGCAGCGGTGCTACCACCAGCCAAGGCAGACTTCGCATCTTCTCAGCCGGATCAGTGGGTAGGTGAGGTATTTGTAACCTAATCCAAGCACCCTGATCAATACTATCAACCGCCTTCCGATTGCTCGGGCTCAGTGAAATTCGTGCAATACAAAGGTTTCAAACATGGATTCGTCACAAATCACTACAGCTTTTGGCACGGGACGTATCTCACAGCAACCCCTTCCATACCCCTTACAGATACTTCCAGGACGAACCCAGGCTTCGGCGTCGGCCGTGGACATTGAAGCGCACAGGCAGCCTTCCGAGTCTCGGATGCTTCAACGAAGGGGGTTGCAGAGAGAAAACACCGGTAATTCCAATCCAGACCGTTAGATTCTCTGCTGCCGTCTAACGTTCTCCCAGAGCAGGACTTGGATGACACGGCAGCACAGCGGCGCCACTCCCATCGCCGAAACATTGCCCTCCATCTTGCCGCATTGAACGCCTTGACTTACCTCTCTCTCAGTCTGAAACACTACCAACTACCGCACACCACAAACTGGGAGTACAAGACATTTGAAAAGCTCATTACCGTTGGCGAAAGAAGTCTGTCGGACTGGTTCGAGGAGTTGTCAGATGTTGCATTCGACATCAAACTCTCGGAGTATATCGACAGCCTGAGCGTGGAGGACATCAATCTCTCAATAAACGACGTAAAGGCCGCGCAGCATTACGAAAGTCTCATCGATGGCTTTCACCGAATGTACCTAGCATCCACGACACACTGTACATTGGTGCAGAAGGCAAAATACCTGGATATCCCTCAACGATTTGACTACTGTGAGGGCACTTATCAAGAATACGTCGCCGCTGTCCTAGAGGAGGACCAAACCAATCGAAAGAGGCTCAAGATAGCGTTGAATCGAGCAGATCAGCTTCTCTCAGCCATCAGGACTGCCATGGTGGACGAGAGCCTCGACGACACGAATCTTGCAAGGCTCAAAACAAAGCTCACGGCTCTGCAAATCGACTACCCCGAAGCATACCAGACAGTATATGGCGGGCCCCAGCGGGATTTATTCGATCCCGGCGCTGACAGATGGTGGTACGAACAGCCTTACCTACATGTATTCAACATCCCAGCAAACTGGGCCTAATTACTGACTAGAGTCTACTGCATAATAGGAACACCTCCAATATCACTGCGCAAAAGAAAACGACCAAGACCCGTTCCACTCTGAGCTTCATCGTACCAACATGCTGCCTCCTGTCTTGCATCCCCGCATTCATGGCATGGCGTTGCAGTCCTCCCGGACCCGGAACAACTAGCGACTCAACTTTCTACGAACTCTTGGCCGGCTGTGTGATCCAGGCTCTTGGACTTGGAGCCATGCTTTGGCCAGCCCTGTCCAGCAAGAAGCTGAATCCTTACCCCCGCATATACTCGATGGTGTTGGCGGCAACCAATCTCGTCTTCATCCTGGCAAGTGTGCCGATGTATCTGTGGGTATCCGCCGGCTGGGGCCCAGCGTTTGCTTGGGTCGGGGCGGTTGCCCAGGCACTTGTTCTCCTGCAGTTGACGGATGAGTTTGTTACCTACAGGTAGATAGGTACCTAGGTAGGTAGGTGGTTTATTAATGAGATGAAACTCAAGGTCACGCGCCCGCCAAACACAGCAGCCCAGACTACGGCATGCGTTTTCTGAGTGCAAATTCCATTGTTGGCTGGGGGCAGCCAGAAGAAAAGGGAGGGGTTGAGGTAACGAACGACCGGGTTCAGATGGAATTGGGAGAGGGAAGGTGGGCACATATCCATCAAGGCACAACACACAGTGCAAGAAGATATCTCAATGCCATCGAGCCGGAACGGCTAGGGCATCGTTCCGAATGCCAATGATGTGATCTGAACAATTGTCACGTCGCGCGCGACCACGAAGGCTGAAATCCGAGGCGGGGCACCTAACAACATAAAATCTGGCACCGCGATCTTCAATTCTCCCTCGGGCGTTGTTGATTTTAGGTCGCGATTTAACCCCCCTAGTTTCCCCATCCCACCCCTCTGCCTCTCTCACTTTGACATTGCCGGGCACCATCCCAAGCACCTTGTGCACAACTCGCGCAGCCATCACTTGGTAAGACTCGGGAACGACCCCAAAGGTCCCACGGGCATCAGATGGCCAGCGATTGATTAGCAATAAGACAGTAGCACCATGGGCGCCAGGTTTAGCAAAGTTAGCTGCACCTGCACGATCGACTGCCATCAACCTGGTGTCGTGCACGACCACAGCAATGGAGTCGGTCCCTGCCAGCGATGCAATCAGTTGCGCCGTCTGCGTGCGGGAGCCCAGTCGCGCGCCTCTGCTGCAAGCACCAGCACCGAGTACCTGGCGCGTCCGCGATACCACACCTCCCCAAGCCCAGACCCTGATCTAGCTCGCCGTGAGTTCCCGTCCGCAAATCGCATCTACCGCGGTTCTCGATCCCCCGGATTGTCACACCGGCAAAACCATCATCCGCCACCCAACTCTTCCCACCGACTACCCACCCTTTCCCAACCAACTCCCATCACAAAAACAAATCAATAACTGACAACTTCTTTATCCACCCCAGGCCTCATCCCCCACCCCCGCAGCACCCTCGCCCATCCGCAGCGACGCGCCCGCCACCGCCGCCGCGCCGTCTCCCTCCCCTCCTTCGTCAGCACCACCACCAGCGGCCTAACCTCGAGCTCCAACCCAGCCCCCAGAACCCCCAGCCTGCGCCTCACCCCGAGCCCCATCCCCAGCCCTACCCCAAGCCCTGCCCCAAGCACCAGCGGCTCGCTGTCTATCCTCTCCAACCTCACCATCCCCGGCGCCCGCGCGCGACGCAACACGGTCGCTGCTGGGTTTGTGGTTGCTGGCCAGAGCAGTGTTGGCTATGCCAATGCCAATCGTGGTGGTGGAGGACCCAGCGCGAGCGCTGCTGCCGCTGCCATCGAGGCTAGCGCGCCCACCGCGTCGAATATCTCGCAGTCGAGCACGGCTATGTGGCGCGGGACGGAGGGGGCTGGGCCGATGGTTGTTTATACCGGGGAGGGGGGGGAAGGTGAGGAGGAGGAGCAGAGTGACTGGGGCTTTTGGGCTTAGGGTTTGTGTTTGTGGAGTGGTGGTGCGCTGCGTTGTTTAGGTTCCGGTCCGGCTGTACATCGGTTGGGTGGGGTCGAGGAGGCATCGTCGTGGGTACCTACATACCTAGCATCACTTGCATCAATTTCGGGAATATTGTAAGAATAGGCATATGGATTTATGTACGTATCACAGGGTATCGTCGCTAGCCTTATCAAGGTTTTATCTTGTGATTATGTTTGGGGAGTTTCATGACCAGACTGTTGGCTCCCTCATCGGTTTTCGGGCTCGCCTTCAGTTCCTGAAGTGTGCACGACCACATTACACGCTCTCCATCCACGCCCCGAGGGAACGCACATTTCAAGGAGTCTCTCTCAATCCACCAGAGATGCTTTCTTAACTAAAGTCAGCTGTCGGATTTGGAATTGGAGAATGGAAGATTAAGCGAAGGGTGGGATGCATGGAAGTAGCAGCATCCTCTTGAACACGAACTATAAAGCTCAACGTTCACTTGTCGCTTGATCATTAGTTTCGGTTCGTCCTTTTTGTTCTTCCGGCACGAGTAAATGAACTCTTCTGACTGCTGCTTCAAGCTTATCGAAATCAAAGTCACACCAACCACGGGCCAGCTACTGCGGCATGAATTTGAGTTTGCTGATGGCGTAGACGGCTTGATATTAAGCTCCAAGGAATAGCAGCCACAATCTGCCGGCCCAACACCGATCTTTAAGTGGCCTTCCAATCCGGGGCCCCGCGAAATTCATCTATTGCTTGGCCAACTTTACTCTTTCTCCCGGTTATGCCGCCAACGCCGTCGCTATCATTGGACCACGAAAAGGACGGACCGTGTTGTAAACTAAGTGCCACCCCTGAGCTCGGCATTTGAGGTGTTCAAGTGACGCGACCACCAAATATGATGATGATTATGGGTGACTTTAATAGCTGGGAAAGCTCTTGATGTTTCGGGGAGCTGCCCCTCAGATATTTCACCGTGGTCAACTCTCGTGAAGCACCGAGCACTTATCCCAGCTCACATACCTACCCCCTAATAGCCAAACCTCATTCCTACCCACACGATGAAGTTCCTCACCGTTATCGCTGCCCTCGCCCTGGGCGCCACCAACGTCCAGAGCCACTACATCTTCCAACAATTCGGCCTCGGGTCCAAGAAGTTTGCCGTGTACGAGCACATCCGCAAGAACTCCAACTACAACTCACCTGTCACGAGCCTGTCGTCCAACGACCTGCGCTGCAACGTGGGCGGCAACTCGGGCGCCAGCACCTCGGTCCTCGATGTCAAGGCCGGAGATTCCTTTACCTTTATCAGCGATACTGCCGTGTACCACCAGGGCCCGATCTCTCTCGTCCGTACCCCTTCTGAACCCCCTTCTGTGGGAAAGACACTTTGACAACTAACCCCGGAGCCAGTACATGTCCAAAGCCCCCGGGTCGGTAACCGAATATGACGGGTCTGGCGACTGGTTCAAAATCTACGACTGGGGCCCGACCTTCAACGGCGGCCAGTCGTCGTGGCCGATGAGGAGTGTGTAACCCCCCATTCCATCCCCCACACCATCCCACCATCCCACAATCCACACACACCCCTACCCCCCTTAGTGCCCCCCCTGACCCACGCTGGCGAATCGTGCTCCAGCACGAGCATCGTGCAGCGCTGATAGGATATGACG